GGTAAAAATAGTAGCAATTCTGAAAGTCGGCAAGAGAGGCGAGATAGTAGGTAGTATGGGAAGGGGGAGGGTCGTAGCAGGGAAATCGGGAGGGAGAAGGGGGGGGGTCGTATTTGTCGAAAACTTCTCTCAGCGGCAGGACATGCCCTGGGTCCGACTCTGTGAATGGAAGGCTCTTGATGGTTTATAAGGGGAAACTCTGTACAAGAACTCAACCGTCGATTTTCCAAAAGAGTTAATACTAACCGCGAGTCCACTATTAGTTTTGTTTTATACCCGCCGCTACGTGCCATTTTAGAAATTCATTCCTTACAGATTTCTGCCTATGGATGGTTCCGCAAAAGTCGTCCAGATTTTCTACTTGGGTTCATTTTCAAACTTTTTACGTGGTCTCCGACAATTCCTTACCTGGACATGGGATTTGACCGATTCATGTGATGTGTTCGTGATGAAACTGAACAGTTACATGAATCAGTCGGATCCCGTGCTGATAATGATTCTCTATTCTCTACTGCTAGTTGTGGTCATGTCGGTCTGTCTCATCCCTTTCCTCACGAATGATCAACTGAACGCTCCCGTCATTTGGAAACATCAAGAGCTGGTACACTAAAAAGGGTATGCGACAAGAGAGTCTAATTCACCACGCTGGTGGGCGTCGCGCGCGACGTCGCGCCCGCAAATGACGACAGCGGGTAATTCAGAACCGAAATATCATGAACGTTTACGATGACGGGCTCACATGAAGTTCGGTGCTCCAATCGACAGGTTAACATGAGCCAAGAAAGCGCCGCGCCCATCGCCGCGCGCGGCGCTTGGGATGGGGCGTACTCTCTCACCCTTATAACCGTCACGGTGGGAAGCTTCGTCTTTGGCGCTCGGCGAAAATCGCTTGGAAGGAACTTATTTTATGGCGATTTTTTGCCCTTATTCAGAACCCATTTTTTTGACGCGGCCTTCATTTTGCTCCCCTTCAGAGTCATAGCCGTGTCTTCATACTGTATATAATCTGCTGAGTGTGTCTTTCTGTGTGTGTGTGCGTGCTGTGAAATTCAATAGCACCTCCGCATTACTGTAGAAGAATGAGGCAAGGGGTGATGATAGGAGCTGACGGGGACTCACTGGTGTGAGTTCATTCCTGGGGCAAGGGAAAATATATAGATATAATACCATCGAGGTGGGGTATCCGCAAATTACTGTGAACTCAGAACAGTCATGCGTAATGAGTCTATAGCATTTCACAGCTTGAAAAGGGAACTCACAAACTGAAGAAGTGCCATCCTTCTATTAGAATCTGATTTTCACACCCGATTGCGGAGGACAAGTGAAAGATTACGATCCCTGACTCACGATAGGGCTCAAAATTGTGAATGGCAAGGCACATCCAGAGCTCATTCTCCCTATATATAAACCGCAGTTGTCTGTTGTGGTGTGTGGTGTGTATGTGTGTGTGTGTGTGTGTGTTTGACCGGAAATTCATAACTTCCTTCAAAAGAGCGAAAGAGCGCTCAAACTGATAAGTGTTGTAGGGGGTCGGGCAGGAATACTGTTGGTAGGTAACAAGAACTGATAAGAGCTGATAAGATACCACAGGGGGTCTTAGAAGGGGAGGGTCACCAAATCCATAGCGTGGGCTACAGCAACGACGAGACGTTGGTTCCAAGAAGTAAGATAGGGGGCAGGATGGGAACATTATTGGTGGGTGGCAGGAAGTGATAACAGCTGATAAGATACCATAACGAGCTTTAGAAGAGTAGGGTCACCTAATTCACAAGTCGACCCCAGCAACAACGGCACGTTGGTCCAAAAAGTAAAATAGGGGGCAGGATGGCAACATTATTGGTGGGTGGCAGGAAGTGATAACAGCTGATAAGATACCATAGGGGCCAATTCAGAGGGGAAGCCACAAAATTCAATGCACGAGTTGTACACTGGGGAACTTCTTCCAGTAAGCAATTCAGAGGTGCTTAGGGAACATTGGTGGTGGGAGATAAGTTGTGATATAGTGTGTCCGACAAGAGCCAGTATCAGTTCGCAGCTTTTACTCCGCTTGCGCCTCATGTTGGCCACCGTGGCCCATGGGAATGGGCAAAGCCTCAGTCAGCCAAATGTTTTCAACCTTTAGTGTTATGTCGGACTTAATTAGATCGCTAATTCCTCGAGATCGACAAAAAGTAACAACCTAAAGTTGTTTGCCAGTGGGTCATCGCATCAGAGCAGGCCATCAACCGATAGATATGTGAAAGCAGCTCAACGGAAGTACTAGGATGTAAACACATTTCACTATGATTTCAATATTGTTACCATCGACTCTTTCAGCCGCTAAGCTATTCTATTCCCAACGAATGGTCTGTGTTTTTAGGAATTGATAAGCACCAGACACTGGCGAATGCTCATTAAATAAGAGAAATATGATGAAATGAGCCGAATTTCGAAAAATGGGAATTGGGCCATGTGTTAGAGGTCAGCACAGAAATCCTGTCATTGATCAGGACCACAGACTGAACCATGCGCGCAGTAGTGCGCGCCAGCCAAACTGGTTTATTCATGAGACATATTGTGAATTCTCACTTCTTACAAGCTATATAATTCTGATCGTGGACTGTAAGTGAATCACAGTTATCGTGGTTCCAGCCCACTCTACTCCGGACACCAAGCGCAATGGATGCATGCACCTGAAAAAAAGAAGTTCAAAAGCAATTCACAAGGACTTTTCCGCTGTCATCCTTGCCAACTATTAAATTGGTTAGTGTCATATCGGGGCCACGGAACCAGCATTCGGCGCAGTTCGCTCAGTGAGCGTACCAAATGAGGAACCCAACCGAACTAGCACGACCGACCTTCTGAATTCCCGTTCCTGAAAGTGACTCACTTGTACAATTCGCAGCGTTACAAGTTTACAGGTTTTTCCAAAGTGGGAGATGAACAAGCAAAGAGAGCTAGCGAAAGTGCGAAATCTCCCTCTCAATCCGGACAGCCTCAGAAATTACTCGGTAACAGAGATTAACATTCCAAAATATGGCGTGTGATTTTAGGCTGCATCAAGCTTACACGAGAAACCCCAAGGGACGGTCGGCTTCCCTACCTTAACACGCAGCTCGAAGTGTCAGCGGCATGATCACTGTGAAGTGGTATCGGAAAAGTAGTTCGAAGAACATTCTCGTCCATGCTACGTCTGCACACCCTTCTGCTGTGAAACGTGCCGTTATTAGGAATATGTACAAAACGGCAACGAGTATGTGCAGCAGTGCAGCCGAACGGGAAGAGTCACTACAACTAGCTTCTCGAATAGCATTCTCGAATGGCTACACGGTACAACATCACAATAGGAGGTCTCGCGTTGGCAGCAACTACACTTCGCGCCAAAATAAGCTTCCTCTATGTGTGCCATTTATCTCTGACAAGGTATCTGCTGCCATCCAACGATGCATTGTTCAAGCACAGTTGTGCGATGATGTTGTCTTGGTCAACGTTCCAAATGACAACATCAAACGTCAACTTGTGAGGAACAGGCTTTACGATAAGCAGTGCCTGTCAGAGAACTGTGTCCTGATGGCAAGGCGATTGTGCCTCAGCGGGCGTCATTTATCAGATTGAATGCAGGACATGTAATTCAACATACATAGGGAACAGGAAGGGTCTTATCAGTCCGTATCAAGGAACATCTATCTGGTAAAAGGCGCAATAACGTGTCAACACCGTTGGGGAGGCATAGAATAGAGCAGCATGATGGCGAAGATTTCAACATCAAGTGCACGATTTTGGCCTATGAGACAGAGATTTCAGCTAGGAAAGCGCTGGAAGCCTTTTGGATTTCAGCACGAAATCCGAGCATGAACAACCGAAACGAGTGTGTATCCATTACGAATGATCTACTACTGTTTATGGAACATTGCGAACCATACATTGATAAGCAGAACAACGGGCGTCCTGATAAGGAGAGTAACACTCATTCGCTTATTCATTTACTAACATACTAACTACTAACCTGTTGTGGTGGTACACGTTGAGCTTATTTTTCAACTGTTGGGTATTTTTGCAATAATCCTGGATGACGTTCAGAATATTGCCTGGAGGGGGCAAGGCGTTTGGTGGGATAGCGTGCAATTCTCAAGCTTTGAGCCATGTTTAGGCCTTTGACAACGACGAACAGGTCGAAACGTTGGCCGAATAAAGAGTTGCCACCTACAAACCTCGTTGGCGAAAACAGAAGAACAAAACATTTTGAGCTGCATTCATTCTTCACGGCAGCGTCTATATTGTAGTTAAAGGCTCACCACTCCCCATACGTCTCATATTCCGTCCACCACCAAATCTTGAAAGACTAATCACGTACTCCAGGCCTTATGAAGAAAAATGTGGGCGAGGAAGCTGCACATACTGTGATGGTGGCAAAATATGCCAACTTAGGGGAGTGGTATATTTGATAGAATGCCAGGGATACGGGCAAAAGTGACCATTGGAGAGACATAAGAAAAATGAGTTTGGAAAGACGGTGGAAAGAAAATTATTGGAAGCACTGGAAATAAGAAGGCTCTCCCCAGAAATGAATAGTAAGGACGAGCTACGTGACGCGCTGCAGTTGATTCACTGACTACGTGATAATGGTGGAGCGGTCAGTGATATCATATGCAGAAGCGCTCACTAGGCATCCTCACTATTCAAGGAGGGTGACGGGTAGGGTCACAGTCAACACTAGAAGGCGCGGCTTTTGCAAGGAGCAGCGGCGACAGATATTGGAGACAGCAGACCAGGTCAGAGTCCAGATCGGAGGCACCACTGAAGGCAAGGTTCAGGATTCGGCTGGAGGCGGCTACTGTGGTATTGCAGATCGAAATATCCAAAGGAAGTATCAGAAACAGCTAGAAACATTTTGCGAGAACTTTTTGAATTAACTTTTGAGTTTTTTTGCAACAAAATTTTTTGCCTCCCCCCCACCCTTTTACGTGTTTCATGTTCATACAATGAGGCTCGGGACAGCAGCATATTAACACAATTATTTGTTAAGGAACATCCATCGGAAGTTCCCTGGCTTTCTTTACACAGCTGAAGAAATTTTTAACACATGTATATACACAAACTATGTTATCCTTCTTTGAGTTTCTTTTTTACCTGGACCATTTCCAATCTTCTTCCTGGTTTCTTGTACAATTTCGTCTTGAACAGCGTATTTGTTGTGTAGTGTGATGTATCCAGGTAGAGCAGCATGTTGGCTGTCGTGGTGATCTATTCGATATGTGATCACGTGGGGAAAACTACGCTTAGGCAGCGTTCAGACTTGACGCGTCCAACGCGCGACAAATGTAGTGCTTCAATACGCGCTTGCCCTTGAACACGCTACTTACACTCCAATTGTCCCGGCGTCCCTTCATGTTATTTCTCCCGGTATTCGATCCCTTTTTCACTGTTTTTCATTTCTACCTAATTCTTAGCTCGTATTTTTCACTTTACCATTGAATTTTAATGTGGTTTCTACGTTTTCGGAGACGAGTTTTTTTCTGAAACTCTACACGAAATCGTTATTACAATGTCCTGTATAAAAAAATGCAATGTTAAAGTGAAGAAGAGGAGCTAAGAATCAGGTAGAAATGAGAAACAGTGAAAAAGGGGTTGAATACCGGAAGAAAGAACATAAAGGGAAGCTGGGGTCTGGTACACTTGGAGTGTGTTCGAAGGCAACAGCGCGCGTTGAAGCGCTACAATCGATGCGCGTTTAAGCGGTACGATCAACGAGCGTTGAAGCGCGACAAGTCTGAACGCTGCATTGAAGTCGTGTGCAGCCACGTGGGTTTGCTTTCCCCTGCCTCCAGCTCCTGTCTACTAATTTTAACTCCTATTTGCTCTGTATTGTGTTCCTTTGTTATTAGTAAACGATTGGATGGATATCGGCTGCCTGCGCAGGTATTGAATGAATAAAAAACTGAATAAATAGAGGCACGCTGTACGCTTAAATCGTGTTGAACCACCCCCCCCCGCCTTTCCACAGATGGCTGACAAGGAAGTGGCTTTGGGTGCCCACGGAGTTTTTATGGAGTTCCAAGTATGTTGATAGGCTATGAAATGCTATTCAAAAAAACCATAATGCACAGTTTTCTTCTTCCCGTGTATTCCCTGATTTTGGTACTCTCCATGGGAGCTTTTCACTGTATTGGTTACAATAATTGCGGGATATGACCTTTGCCTTACATGCCACTGAATTTTTTCTTGATATGAGACTCACACAATAGCAGTGACGGTCCTTGGGCGCTTCTATCCCTTCGAGGGGATCGACTGGAGTCCCGTCGGTCCAATGATAACCACTCTTCACTAAACCGACCAGCACAAAAATTTCTCTGAACCCTCTGTTTTGTGGCGTTTCATGTACTCTCAGTGACAATTCTGAAAAGAACGCATTAAGTTGGGCGTTTCTTTCACTCTTTCCTCTCCGGAATTCAATTCCTAGCTATCCGCTAAAGTGTGTCTCCTTGTGGTGTTTGGTTGCCTGTCGTGTCGTGACTTGTGTGTGGTGTGTGCCTGTGTGCCGCTAGTTGTGTGCTGTAGTTGGTCGCTCAGTGTGTCGCTGTGTGTGTTGTGTGTGTGTGCGCGATTGGGCGTGTGTGTGTGTGCGCGTGTTGTTGTGTCGTGTGTGTGTGTGTGGCCCCGCCCGCGTTCTGTGTTGACCCGGAAATTCGTTAAACTTCCTTCAAAGGCCGAAACCTGCCCTCGAGGCCGTCAAACGATCGTTAGGGCAGGATCGCGGAACACTGTTAGTGGGGTGACCAGGCGCTTGATAACACGCCTGATAAGATACTCTGAAGGGCCTTAGAAAGGGAGTGTCACCAATTTTGTAGCCGCAGAGCCACAGTAGCGCATAGGGACGGGTTCTCGAGGATGGACCATCATTGGTGTGGAGGACGATAGAGGATGCCCCCTCCAATGTTCATGCACGAGTTGTAGCAACCACTTGAGAAGCACTCCCGCAGGATTCAGAAGAAGGTTTACAGAGCATTGGTGGTGGGATATAAGTTGTATATAGTGTGAGAAGAGAGCTTATAAGCATCAGTACCTGTTCGCATCCTTAGTGTTCAGCCTGAACTTGAGCCGCGATGCCCAAGAAACAATGGGCAGGGGTGTTGTGAGTCAAGTTATTTCATCTCTTAGCGATATGGTTGGGACTGATTCGACCGCTGAACTCTCGAGTTTCGACAAAAATCAAAAGCCCTGGAAGCTGCTTAACGAAAGTACTGCGATGTGAGGATATTTCACTATGATGTCCATGTTATTACCATCGAAACTCTTTCAACCGCTAAGCTGTCCTATTTCCAACGAATGGTGAATGTTTTTTTAGAAATGTGATAAGCACCAGACATTAGAAAATGTTCATTAAACAGGAGAAATATAATGAAATGGGTCGTATCTCAAAAAATGACAATTGGGCCAAGTGTTTGGGGTCAGTACAGAAATCCTGTCAGCGATCAGTACCATTACCATAGATTCAACCATGCGCGCAGTAGTGCGCGTCAGCCAAGCTGGTTGCAAATAAGGCGCGAATCGCAGCGCTTCTTGGATCTATCAGTTCTACGCAAAGGACGGATGCTATTCGCTTCCATGGGAAAAATCTCATGACCTGCTAGAAATTTTCTCTGGCAGTCAACGTGTAAGGACGCCAGATGACCACCTTGTTCCTTACAGTACTGTTCTGCCTCTCGCTGAGAGAAATGTTCACGTTCTCCGAATAGAGTTGTGGATTTTACAATCTGAAAAGGCACTAAAGAGGACAGGGCCGAGCTTCTCTGAATTACAGCAGTCAATATTTTAACTCACCTTGATCAAATCTATTTGTTTACCGCCCACCAAAGGCACCCATTTTCCTTCCCTGGCTCTTTCGACGATTTCGGCATGGATTCTGAATGCATTAGCCACCGAGCATATGTCCCAAAGGAGGAGCAACCATTGAGGAACGTGAACGAGCTTCAGCATTCAACTGTGCTGAAAAATGATTTCTATACTTGTCTGCTCCCTCTCGCTGAATGAGAAACCGGAACATCGTTCTTCTATTTTCAGAAGATGGGGAAAGATGTCATAAGGAAAAGCGGCATAGTCACGGCGCCTCGTACTACAGGAGGCTTTATTGAACGGTCTCCTGAAAAAGCACGCCGAAATTGCTCTAAATAAGGCCCGGCGCTCTTTTAGCTTTTGACTTCCCTGCGGAGGACATACATATATGACACGAAACGGTGAGGCCACGTT